ACACAAACAACGTAAATGTGATTGAAACTTGATCCAATGTTCTTGGACTTGAAATTGACAGTCATTGAACGTCCAGTAGTTCCTTTTCCCATTCACATATGGCGTCTCGGCCAGAGCATATAGCCCCACCAGAGTTCTTCTATGATGAAGAAATGGCTGAGAAGTAGTGCAGTGCCGATCCGTCATTTTCAAAGCGAACACATCTTCAGCGAGTGGAATGGTACATGGCTCAGGTACGCGGCGAACAGCCGTATGATCGACATCCAAAGCAAGATGACTGAGAGAGCAATCGAATTGATGATGTTGAGTGACGATGAGCCCAGCTTGGTGAGCATAGTGAGGCTCACCTTCTCCTAACTAAGGGGTCATGGTTCAGGTCCTCGACGTAGGAGTAGGGTCGGGGATCTCTGGAGGGGTCCTTGGAGACCATGGTCATTTCTTTGTCGGTCTAGATATATCATCGGCTATGCTCAACGTGGCACTAGAGCGAGAGGTAGTATTAGAGTCTTAGGATGAGAGTATGGAGTGGTATTTTATGCAATAGCAAGGAAAAATTGTAGGGGATGGGGGTATTCTCATTGCGTCATCTTACGAGTGATGCTCATTGACCATTGTCAGGTCGATGAAAGTGGTGATTTCCTTCAGGGAGACATGGGCCAGGTAAGTTCTTGTGCTTCGCGACGCTGGTTTATTAGACTCCCTTCATTTCAGGGCTTTGGTTTCCGACCGGGCACTTTCGATGGATGCATATCGATCTCTGCTCTCCAGTGGCTGTGCAACTCTGATGTCAAAAGTGATCACTGGATTATCGACAAGCTCTATGGTGTTTTCAGGTCATGAGCCATATCGACGGCTGAGGAAGTTCTTCCAGGACTTGTTCAATTGTCTAAAGAAGGGCGGCCGAGCAGTATTGCAGTTCTACCCTGAGAGTGGCGAACAGGTGTTCCGAGGGGCCGCTGAAGTTGTGGTTAAGACGTTATTCGATCAGGTTGAGATGATCACCAGTGCCGCTATGCGTTCGGGTTTCGGAGGTGGCCTTGTGGTTGACTTCCCTCACTCCTCGAAGGCCAAGAAGCATTTCCTTGTACTATACGCCGGTAATAGGAAAAGTGGGAGGGACATTTTCAAGGCATGTGTGGTTACGCGAGTGAGAGCCGTGCTGAACACATTCTTCTCTGGATCGCTGAAATTGATCTTATCGTTGATTGTCATTTTGTTCGA